AGTCTCAATTGCAGCCTAAAATTTAGAAAAAATCATGAAATTGTAGATGAGAAAAATGAGGAGTAATATTGGTACAATAAGTACACCATAATAATTTTATTTTTTTCATTTTTAGTTTTTTTGGATTAAGAATATAATTGTAAATTTGTTGTGGTCTATTTATTGAAAATATATTTTAATTATTGCGTGATCATAATGTGGTGTAATAAGTAATTTTTGTGGTGGTAATATAATTACCCATAATTTTAACATCTAAATGACGATTTTCATTACTTGAGGATCCAAATTTACAAATTCCAATAGGATAGACAACCTAAAACTTCACTTTTGAAGGTTGAAAATCCATAAACATACAGTACAAAATTTGAGAGCACAAACCTAATTTTACCGAATAAATTTGTAGACACCTCAATATCGGCTCCCAAAAGTTCATTTGAAAATTCTCCAGAATTTGAAAAGAAATTGGTGGTGTCCTCCATGAAAAGATTAACACAGAGAAAAAAAAATGTGCAGAAAAAAGAATGCAATTTTACTACGACAAGAAAACGTTAAAATGAAAAGCCAAAAATAATTTTAAAAAATCACTCTTAACAACTTTCATTAAGCTTTTACTCGTCGTTAATGCGACTTTATATTTGTTGGCTTGGAAAAGTTTCCATAATTCAGCCTAACACGTCGAAATTTTCTCACGTCAATATCTATCTAAACAGGACATCTTTACATTACAAAAATTATTGCTTAGTCACACAAGGGAAAAAGTAACATTAAACGACACCAAATGACTGTTACTAAGCTAAAATTTCACAATAATAAATATTAAAAATCAAAACCTGAGAACCGCCGAGTCACAATGAACAAAATCAAGCAAACATGTGAGACAAAATGAGTCGCTTTCCAAATCTAAGGCAATGCTCAAATCGAAAATATCTTCTAGTTTACTATTACCATAAACTAACACTCATTCCACATAGTGCATAAAGAGACAACTGAAGTGACATGTCTCAAGTTCTTTGTCACAACAAAGACGACATATAGCAAACTAACTCTTATTCTCAATAAATCTAGAGTTGAGTATAAGTATCCTATTTGTCACTTTGTGTAGTTCTCAAAGATTTAAAACTACATTCGTAATAATTTCACATACTCTAACTTTCTTCTAATTTGCTCGGTTCAGACCATACAAGACATGTCAACCTAAACCTTCATTTTCTTAGTTCATCTTCAATCTATGTCACGCCCAACTTCTTGACAAAATAACTATTAGGCCCCATTTGATACACCATATTTTCCATGGAAAATTTTTCCATTTTCCAACTTTTGTAGTGTTTGATTAGCAAATTTTCCCAGGAAAATGTTTCCAACTTTCCAAAATTTCCACCTTTTTGAAGAAAACAAATTCTTGGTGTTTTGGTTCGTAAATATTTTCAAGGTTTTTTTTTTTTTTTTTTTGAAATTGAAAAAAATTATATAAAAAATGGTAAAAATTTTTTAATAGACAATTTTCATTAAAAAAAGT